CCGACTTGTAAATACTGCACGAATTTATGAAAAAGGCAAATTTCAAGCATGATTCTGAGCATTCGAAGTATCAAAAGGTTAAACAAGTAATGATCAATATCTGGCTACTTTAAAACATACAAATCTTCTGATAAGTTTCCAGCATGAAAAACGTTATGGTATAATCACTGCGGATACTTTTAAATCTTCCATGTGTTAGACATTTGGTGAAAATATGTATTATATGCTCCACGATGATCGTTAACTGCCGAAATTTTCGAAGTTATTCCAAATCTTGAACTGAGCGGAATAATCGAGCGAAACTGATGTAGCCCAAGAGCCACCATGAAGACAACGATGATAACGTCGCCCTCCCTAAACACTCGTATAATTTACATGCTGGCATTATAGAAAAGAGAAGCAGTTGACCGTGAAGGTAATAGCGCTCCACTTACATCACCAAAGATAAATTTGTGAGAGCAAAGAAGAATCGGCTAAGCTGGGCATACTCTTTGAATACTTCTGACAATACATATACGAAACAAGTGGCCACACAACTCACGGCTATAACTATCGACAGTTGCATCAGAATCTAAATTTTATTTGTAACTAACAAGACGATAGAAGTTCCAAAAATAATGAAGGCTTCTTGCTTTAATCGATCCGTCTGAGGACCGCACTCGACTATCTTTCAGCGTCTGGGTTGGTGGCGTATTGAAGGGTTATGTGGCCTGTACAATGAGTTGGGCCAACCGATGTACAAGGCAGTGAATTTATCTTCTTGGAGTAGCCTGGTAGCATTCAAGCGGTCCATCAGGGATGAAAGGTTTAGGTGTTCAAGTGAATTTTGGTCCGGGACCCGAACTCGTGACCATGCGTGTGTGATAGTGAAAAGGGGTTATTGTAAAATATGATGACAGAACAGGGCTTGAAGAGGTATTTGGACGAGTTGTGAGGGTTGTGTTACTACTTAGGGCCGCCTACAGCAAGATGAAATGGCGGAGATTGCCTCTCGATATCTCCATGGATCACAACTAGTTGTTGTAAATGGTACAGCCCCTTCAAGTCTTCGGAACTCGACCACTTTGATGTGGAGTGCAAAGGAAAGAAAATCTGGATCCCTATTACGCCCTATCCATAAAGCTTTTCGATCAAACAGCGCTGCGAATGGCATATAAGTTACAATTTCACCCTCGACAGATATTCCGGAAAGCATTTTTGTCGCCAACTGTACATTTGAAAATTCGATCACTGTCAAATGTTAATAGTTAAAATCCTCTTCAAGCTCACGTGCAACGACAAAGGAGCGAACTGGTGCTTTACAATTTTCTTTTTCTATAATGAATTAGGAATCGGTTTTGTTTCAATGAAACATCCTCTCAATGTGCTTGTTCTGTCAAACTATGCTATTTAGTTTACTTTGCCTTTCGGGACCACAGGTTTTTATGAAGTATAGTGATGTGTTCAAAACAGTTATCGTGGTTTTAATATCAAAAAGAACATTTACCTTCAGCACTCTGAGATTTTCCGTCAGCTGAAATCTTGTACTGAGAGTATAGACAACGTTTTCCGGTATGACACCTCGATTGATATCTCGCAATCTCGCCGAGTCACGACGGTACAGTGCTATATATAATAAGCAACAAATAGTCACTAATACACAAAAGCCTACTACCATGACCACAAAATTGTAACGTCCTGAAAAATTGATCGTCATTCGATTGAATGGATCCCACGCACATGCACAAATCGCGTTTTGTTAGAACTTTATTGTAGATGACAGCTGCCAGTTTTTGTAGGAAGTTCAGGAGTGATTCTACAAAAAGCAATAACTTGCCTAATAAAACGCTTGCAGCAATAATCGCTGACACCGTATAACCCAATGAGATGATGATTCCGCTTATCCAAGTTCTGGAGTTTTTTTCATAATCGATGATAAACTTGGAGGCAAAACACCGTTCGATTACAACCGAAGGTAGGTATAGTGACATTGCGCAGGTACACCACGAATGAGTAAAGGTTGCTGAGGCAATAATAATGAAGTTGAAAGCACTCTCTAAATACACAATAAGACAATAACACATGTAGTGCTTATATGACATAGGAATCTACAATAGATAGTAATGAGCAAAGAATGTAGCCTAAAGAAGAAGTCCTATTGAAGGTCGATTAAGTGGCTTAAGGGTTACCTTGTAGGATAAAATCCTGAGGGGTATTAGTCGCTGAATTATTCCCGTCTTTTAAATTCCTATTGGTGGTTGAAGGCGTATGTTGCCTTCACAATGACTTGCAGTGGACATGTCAGTGCTTTCATCTTCCACGCAAGTCTATTAAAAAAAAGTTCATCTCAGAAAATGGAAGGCTTGGTTGACCTGGGTTAGTATTGATCTGAGATTCGAACCCGGCTACTAACTACTAATCTACTCTACTTGATATTTGGGCCCCAATAATGGGCGCTAAATTCGTTAATATCGTTATGAATTTCGCCGCGCAATTTTCCGCGCGCAGTCCGAATCGCACGAATGTACCGACCCTCCCGTGATTGTGGTAGTGCCGGCCCAGATTCTGTGAAGAAAATGCGCGCTGATGAAAGCATGAATAAAAAAGGCGGATAGGGAATTTTAGAAACTGAAGTGTTCTTAAGTTATACCTTCGTGCGTCATGATTCTGAGTTCATAGAAGAAGAGCACAATACGAGACAATAAATTGGGGTAGTATAAAAATAAAAGAGCCTGAAAATGTGGACTGTATCCGTTGATCATGAGCCTCGACATATTTCTATTATGCATTTCTTACAACTTGCTACCAAGAAACAGCACGCAACTCAAGGCTTAAAAAGCGAAGTTAAAGGATAAAAGATAAAGCCCAGGAAATTATAAGATCTTGAAAACCCTAGGAATCCTCTTCTTTACACTCACCATCGATATTCGAACAACGTTTCCGTGAAGTAATGGAGTTTTGTTCAAAATCCGTATAATAAATGGTATGTATACCACAGCAAAAACCATGGCCAAAAATTCGATAATGTATAGGATCCATATTCCAGGGTGAATTGGTCCTAATGGTTGTGGTTCCATCAAATGAATTTCGAAGCTATGGTGATTATTACTCATCGAGTGCGCTCTGCAGAAAACCTTTCAAATCTGTAAATCATTCAATCACGATCATCAAATCTCCCGAAAATAACAATCTATTTTAGACGAAGTGGCATTGAACGACAGACAACTGAAAGGTGCACGTACTCCAAGACAATATATGTGGATAATATTTAGAACACAAAGTCTTGACATTGAGTTGAAGGATAAAGGATAAAGGCTTCGACGTCATTCAGTCTCATATTTAGGATGCGCCATGCACTCAGAATCGCAATGGTCTAGTGAGTGACGGGGAGTAAATGACATGAATATTTTGCTGAAGAGATAGGATATTCCGTAACTGCTTGTTGAAGCTAGTGGAAAAAACAAATTACGAAAGAAGTTAGCAACTTCCACAAAACAGCAATTACTTCTGATTTCCGCTAGAAAATGGACATGCTACAGTATGTCTAATTGTAACATTCGAATGTACAAACACAGTGACACCAGTGTTCAACTAAGAGTAGAACATACACGCTCACAAGGTAAAGAATAAAATATAAAGTTTTGGCGTTAATCGATCTCGATTGAGGGATGCACTCCCGCACTCGACTTCAATTCAGAATCGTAGTGGCGTCATGGGTGCGTATGTGGCCTATACAATGACTTGCAGTGGTCAGACGATGTACAAGTCAGTGCTTTTATCCTCCGAGACGAGTCTGATACCAATCAGCCAACCCGGAGGGATGGAAGGCTTGTTTGATA